GCCTATATTCTAAAAGCTTCGTCGGAGCGCGATTCGCGGCTGTTGTCGCTCTTCTCGGGTGTTTGTGGATCCAGCGTTCTTGTTCGTCGTGGTCTGTTTTAAGTACATTTTTTTCTTGCTGCTTGAAGTCGGCACGCGCGAGATGAACACGTAGAAAATAAACGTTCAGTCAGTCAGAGTTTTGAGAGGAAGGAAACCAAAGGAAATAACCGTTCTGAACTCGGCCCTGCCAGCCCTGCCCTACTGCGCACGCGCAGTAGTTGCTTCGTTTACCACACGATAGATGGCGCTTGGCTCTCAGCATTATCAAATTTGGCAATTTTCGCCACACGTCTCTAATTATGCTACAAAATGTGGGTCTGAATATTATTTAACAAAACTTTTAGGAAACATTCGCCGGCTATTTATTGTTTACGATCGCGGTGCTGGTGAGGTAGGCTCTTACCCAATAGGCGACGTGGATTCGGCTGACGTGCTCCATTTCTGCGGATGCATCGTAGTGAAAAGGCAGAGCTTTCGAAGGAAAGAAGTCGCAAAAGAGTCCAGTTTTCTTTTAAAAGTTCTATAGCAAATAATTTTTTTTGGCTCCCTAGTTTTGTGTTTTTGTGTTTCTTTTCACACCTTTTACGACGTGCGGTGGATGAAATTAGATTTTAAAATCATTTCATGGTCCCTTTAATGAGGAGACAGCTCGTCATGTCAAGCAATATTTGGTTCATTCACTCGGCAACTCCATTCTTTTTAAGTGTGCCAGGAACGGTCAGTTGGCGTCTTATACAGTGCTTGGTTGGGTACATACTGACCTCTTTGCCTGTGTACTCTCTTCCATTGTCTCTCCGTAAGGACTTCACTGTTTTGTGGAGATTTTCCACCATGCATTTGTACTTGTCATACTTATGAAGCACTTCGCTCTTGGCCTTCATTGGGTACACCACTGTGTATCTTGAGTAGTCATCTATGAGGGTGACAGGATTAGTGGAGCCCTATTTGGATACTGGTGTGATTTTTTTCAACCCAGAATGCACCAGCTCCAATGGCATCCTGGTCCATGTTGCCTCTTCCTTTGGGAAATGGGTTCTTCTTAGTTTTCCCAGAAAATATATGTCACATTTGTTCTTCACAGGGTCTTCACTTGCTTTACAGGGGTGACAGACAGCGTCGTGGTGAAGCTAATGTGGCCGTCTGTGCCACAAAGACATGTCCTTTGCCTTTGCCATCCTTGGTGACATTTTTGCCTCCTCGAGAGAGTAGACTTCCTCCTCGAGCTGCAGTAAGTGTTAGCTCACTGGTCTCGTTCGTAATTTCAAATTTGCCTTCCGTGAACATTATGTGGAGCCTTCACTCCTCAGTTCTTCCGAATGTTAGTAGGTTGCCGTTCAGATCCGGCACATAAAGGACATCGTCAAGCGTGATGCATTTCCGACCCCACTCCTCAGACAGTTGAATCTCGACTCTTCCTTTCCCCATGACATTAATGGATTCTTCGTTTGCAGTTTCCACTGCCGACGCACATGGTTTAAAGTCTGTGACCTTTGTCAAGCGCTATGTCATGTGGTTTGTTGTGCTGCTGTCAAGATTCCACAGATGAGGTTGTGTTGCCGTCACATTGCTAGCAGACACAGCCATCCGAGTAGCATTCTTTGCCTGTCGCGGGTTAGTCGTCGTCGTCTTGTCATTCCGTTTGTCTGGAAACTGTTTACAGTCTGGCTATATGATCAGTCTCGCCACAAGCAAAGCATCACAGCTTCTCGCCAAGTCGTTTGCTCCCAGCTATGGATTAAGCTTTGGTAATCGAGGCCCATGTCTGATTCTCTTCATTGCTTGCCCGGTCTTCGTCAAGACGCAGTTGTCAGCCTCATCCTCACTCCTTTGGTTGATGTCTCTTAGTCCTGCTTCAAGTTCGAATGAGCTTTTTGTACAAAACAGAAAGCCCCATTTGCATCACTAATGCAACCTTTCTGTTGATAAATGCATAGCCCGTGTTGGACAACTTCCTGTGCAGCTCCACAATCTTCCCTGGTAGTCCTTCATTGACTTGTCTCTTGATCGTTATATTGAAAAATTCGTGCATCAGCTGAAGTGTGTGCAAGAGTCCAAACCTTGAGCATATTTTCTGCTGCGTATTCCAGGCTTCTCCGGCAGTTCTGCTTGCCCTGATGTCATCCAGGTAGTTGCCCTTGACGCAGGCACGCAGTCGGGGGGGGGGGGGGGGGGGGGGTCCCATGGGGCCCAGGCCCCCCTCCAAAATCTTCCATTTTGCTGGGACCTCTTCTCCCCCCTACCCCTCACACAGCATTTTGTCATGGGCGGGCCCCCCACACGAACCAAAATCCTGGCTACGTGCCTGCCTTGACAGCAAGAAACGGGAAAGTCGTGGCCTTGTTGTCAGCCTTTTTTTCTTGCTCATTCATTTTTCCTTCCAAGTAGCCAGGGTCGATTGCTTTCCAGCATCCCTTCTGTATGAAAGCGGCTCTTGCACTTACTACCTAACCGGGTGTGCTTGTTGTCGGTTAACAGCTTCAGCAATTTGAACACGTCTAGCGCCGACGCCGATTCCTCTACCGAGTGCAAGACGAAACAAAATGCAGACTCTCGCTTTCTTCACAGGTTAACACCATTTGTCCGCCACTTCTTCCCGACAAGTTTGCCACACTCACACTTTTGTGTCTAGACGTCCTCAGTAAATGTTTAGCGTGGAATTCGTCGAAACGGGTGTCGTTTGGCATTCGTCCTTCCAGTGAAAAACGTGAGACTTCGTTCATCCACATGCCACTTGTCAGTCACTTCCCGACAAAGTCGCCGCACTCACGCATTGCATGTCTAGAGGTCTTCCGCACACGTTCGGCGTGAAGTCCATGGCGAGGCAGGTGTTGTAGGGCGCTCCATCCATGTAATGAAAAACATACCACTTCTTTCATCTTCACAGGCACACACCATATCAGTCACTTCTTCCCAACAGTTTCATCATACTCGCACTTATTGAAACTTCAGCAGACTTCAACATGGTGTAGCGAAAACGGTGATGACGTGTCACATCAATGTGGGTGCACTTCTCATCACTGATCCAAAGTCCCTTCTCACAGCTGTTTGATACTCACAGCTGATGCATCGTGCTGAGCACATAACCTGTTGGTTTTTGTAGTTTGCGCAGCTTGGCTGGGTTATTTGCCGTGGATGCAAAGAGATTGGCGTGCATCCAAAAGAAGTCAACATGTCAAGCTACTACTTGGTCTTATTAGATGGTAAAGAAAAGAGCTAAAGCCAAAACAACGGGGACAGCGCACCAATGGGGATGAGGTGCCATCTGTTGGTGGTTCCTTACACTACCAACAGCTTGTCATGTGTACAACCACCGAAAATGACTCTGGCCAGAAACCCTTTCTAGGATCAATCCACATGTGGCTTTCACTGTTGTCACATCAGGTGGTCTTGCTGGTGAGTATGTACCTTCTGAAGTATTTATTTCACACCACCAAATTTGTTCTTGTCAAGAACAAGTAGAAAGGACCACCACCATAATGAGTTGATCCGGCATGCAAGTCGCATACGGTTAGAGACAAGTTAATAATGCAGTAGAAGGTCCACCTGCAAGTGTTATGCACCTGCTTCAAGTCCCTCCATTCTTGAGAAAATAACATGTCTTCTGCTCCGTGACATCAGCTTTATGCGGGAAAAAATGGAGCAAAGTTCACCGCTAATCGAGCCATCATCATCTCACTCAAATTTCTGACTTGACAGAATGTGGGTGATGGCAGGACTTGATGATGGTGACTGTGTTCCACAATGTCTGAGTAGGATGGGGCAATCATTGCTTGCCCAATTTATGCAATCTATTGTGACGAGACACGGCAGTGTTGCCGTGATCTGCAGATGAAGAAATATTACTCTCTTCATTTCAGTAGACAACTTTCATTTATTAATGTGAAAGCATAAACTGTCCCATGGAATGAACTGGCGTTATCAGTTTTTGATGTCACGCCAAACGGCACCTAAATTCCCCTGTCCCAATGGAGCGAAGCCTGTAGTCTGTAGCAGCTATGTGATGGATAGGCTCCCATTGGCTGGTGCACGTCATAGTTTTAAGGAACGAGGCTCCCGTTGGCTGGCACGTGCCATAGTTTCAAGGAGCGCCACCCCATGGGGCTGAGGGCCCTGCGCCAATAAAAGGAATGCGATGGCGCACGCTCGGCCGCTTCTACTCCTTTCGACGTTGACAAGCATGGTGGCGCCCCAAACATCCACATTGTCGGCAGCCGCAACCTCGGCAATAGCAAAGCCCCCGTCCACACAAGTGCTCAGCAAATGAACTTAGGGAGCGGAATAACGCAGCACAATGAGCGAGGAGGCAGGCAGGAAAACTTACCATCGTTGTCAAGTCTTCGAATACACAGCGAGCGGAACGAGCAGCGGCGCAATGCACTAGGAGACAGAACCAAGCCTTTTGAAAGCGTGAGGCGCATGCGGATCGTGATTCAAAGCGGCTCGGGCGGCAAGAGGACGAGGCCCTTTGACAACGCGAGGCAAGAGCAATATGTTGCAGGCGGCATGCTTTCGCATTCACAACTCGTAAGAAGTGCTTAGGTGTCCTTGGACTTTTTACCCGACGAGAAGCAGACTCCACATGTTCATTTGGAACGTAGCAGTATTACATCTACTGTTTGGTCTTGAGCTTTGGCTCTTTTGGCAACTCCGTCCTCGAGTTTTCCAATTCCCATTCTTTCAGTTGAGTTGTTGGCCACTGGTCTGCAATAAGCGTGGCTGCTCCTTCCGGTAGACGCTGGGTTGTGGTTTCTCTGCTCGGCTTCTTGATAGCTAGAAGGTTCTTCCTAGAGTTGCAGATGGTGTAGCGTTAACTGTGACCCAGGAGAACACTGGCATAACGAGATGATTTGTGTTGCCCATAAGGCCCTGAGTGACCGCGTAAGAAATGTGCAGCGCTTGTGACCGTCCACGCTTGCCGATCCCACAAGGGAGGGTCTCCTCGGGGTTTCCAGGTACGAGCGTACCGCCAGGGACAGCCGGGGACGTTTGGACACGGTGCGCGCAATGGCCTCCGGCACGCGGGAGGTCAAAGCGTCCAAGGCAAGACACGGCAGCGGAGGTCCGACAAGAGAGCGCTGGACAGCGCCCGCCGTGGCCATCCTCAAGGACTCTGTGTCCTGGCAAAACTACCGGATCCCCAAGCTGCCCAAGCCCGCTCCTCGGCAGGCAAGTCTAGTTTCTCTGGCAAGAGGGCAGCATCTGTTCACAGGACCGCGAGAGGCGCTTCAGGAGCCAGGTGTCGAAGCCTCGGTCAGTTGTCGAGCGCTGTCCTGTGGGAGTCTCAAACTCCAGCTGTCCCCCACCGATGGTGTCTGGGTCTTTGCCAGTGGACCAGTGCTTAGTTTTTGTGTGTGGAGGCATTGTTTGCCAGCACAGTCCAAGCTTTTTGTGTGCTGTCGCCGATTGTGCAGCACTAAATGCAGGGATGGAACTGCGGCGCCAATTGCGCCATTATGCACCTGATGACTTTTCATGCGCCGCACTGATACAAAAATATAAATGAGAACGAAATTGTGTGAAAGTGTGCCCAAACTGAAATTATAAATGAGCCTCATCAAAATTAGCCATCTCTGTTTGCAAGATTGACATTGGAACTTCCGGCCCAAAGAAAACGCCAGTGGATCCGAATCCGATGCTCCGTATCCAAAGGAACGTTGCTGCAATGCTTATACTTCATTTCAGCTTACAACAGCTGTTACAGCATCCCTCATTGCAATGCTTCTGCTACCAGACCTCTTTGAAGCCATTCGCTGTCGCTCTGCTTCGTCAAGTCCACCGGCAGGTGCTATAACAGGGGTGTGACATCTGCTCCAGCTGCACCATTTTGATGCAAACCCAATTTTCTGCGCCTAGTTGCGCCAAAAACGCAAAATCTGTCAAGATTGCACCACACTGCGCCAATGTAACTCAAAAACTAAGAAAAAAGTTTGCGGCGACGCTAGATTTAGTGGGAAACGAGAGCTTGGTTGGGGCAGCATTCAATCCCGTCGTAGTAAAGTACTCGGCATGGGTACAGGGTGGCGCGAGCAACCACCGGATTCGAAGATTTTAGCTGTAGTACCCTTCTATACCTATGATACGTGGTCTTTTCCCGATTTTCCTGCTACTTTCCGCTGTCATTTGTGACGACATGCTAACGGTTCGCTGTCACGTGGTCTCGCTGTCTGGCCGTGGGAGGTACGACGCACAGGCTGTCAAGATGAGCAAACCTTTTTTTTTTTTTTTTTTTTCGTTTTGAGAGTAAACCTTTCTTTAAAAGTGCTATTGAGCGCCTCCATTGTGTAATTGTTCATTTGTGTCCGTAATCTCGTCAAAATGGACGTCGCCGTCACCGTGAGTACTTTCGGTTATCACACAGGTGCTTCCAGTGCGGGAGCAATCGAATAAATCAGTCCCACACCTGTGTTTAGCGTGCATATGGTCCTCGTAGTTTTTCTACCAATTCACTATTTACCTTGTGACTCACTTTTGTGGGGAGTTTCTTCTATCTGCACGTGCTTTCTATGAGCGTCCGATCGATGTCTGGTTGTAGTAAACTGTGCTTCCCTGTTCATGCTCTCGAATCACCGCTTTAAAAGTTTTGCACTACAATTGCGCTTTGGCACCAGTTCGTATAAGCTTGAGGTTATTTAGCGTGCATGTGGTGTCCCCCTAACTTTGCAGCAAGCCTGTGTTTCCTGTCCTCATATATGCGCATAAAACTCGCGTTTGCCTTCTCCGTTAATTTTTTTTCTTTTATATTTTATTTTGGTGCGTATCGGCGCTATTGACTTATTCAGGGTGCCTAGTGACCGGGAAAACAGAATTGTCAGGGGACTTTTAATTACTGAGAAAAATCGGGGAATTGTCAGGGATATATTGTCAAAAATCGAGCTCAGTCAGGGAAAATGAATCGGAAACACCATCGAGTTCCTTCAGCAAAGACTTGATGACTTGGGGACAGAAAAAATGGCAATAAATTCTGCTTAGTGCGGAGCGCGGGCTCTGCTCACCCGATGGAGAGTGTGCTACCGATGCAAAGGGAACAGCCAACAAATCCAGTCCAAGCCTTTGATTGGATTGGAACGAGGGCACGACACTAGGCTAGATCAAGTTAGAGCTACTAGATTTAGTAACAAATGGGAAAGCCGCAGACCCCAATCCAATTCAAGCATTAAGCCGAAAGAGTCCAAAAGTGTGTTTCTGGCGGCCATGCTGCCATCGGGTTATTGACGTGTGTGGTTGAGCTTCGTGTTTTCTTTGTGTTTCCGGAAGTGGCCTCTTCACCGACGATGTCGGCGGTAGGGAAGTGCTCGTTTAGTCTGGACCGGACGAGTTCGAGTATTTCGGAATATGCAAGTTGGATTAAGCTCATGCAAAATGATCCTCCTTGTGCACAATGCTCAATGCCTTATGTTGTAATGGTCTTATATATTTAGCCGCCCCTAAAGTGGTCAGGGGATTTCACCTGAAAGTGTCGGGGAAATTCTGGAAAAGTCAGGGAATTTCAAAATAACAATTTGCTAGACACCCTGTTATTGGAACCAGGGTGGACAAAAATAATGATTAAAAAAGAAAAATCTGATTTATGGGATATATACTATAAGATTTTTTATGATTTAGGTTGCTGATAAGCTGCTCTAACATTTTCTGCTCCTAATCTGTTCCAAACTGTAGACTTGTGCTTCGAAGTTCCTCCAAAATGCATAAACTGCTGCTCCAAAACGAGAATGTTTTGCTCTTGAGCTGCTCCAAAATCCGGATTTTTCTGCTCCGAAAATTGCTCCAAAACCTGTTTCACCTGTCTCACCCCTGTATAAGCGCAAGCTCCGAACTTTCAGCATCCCTGCCAAGAATGCATGGTCGTGCAGTGCACGCACTGTTCAAGGCCACATGCTGGCGCTTGTTGCATTGGCTGCATCCGGACATAAGCTGAAACGAAGTATAGCTGCTGTTGCTGTGTGCTTTTCTGGAGCCCTGGAGTCGCTTCATCTGAATAGTGAAGCAAACAGTGCCGTCATATTGCGATAAACTCAAATGTATTTAAGTTGGTGTGCCTCTCTCTTGGCTGTTCTTGTGCGACTATAGATGTTTCCACTGATTACAAAAATCGGAGAGAGTGTAAGATGTAGTACTCGCAGCCTACCTTTGGTAATGGCGGTGCTCCAGTCGTGTTGCACGGAGTATATAGCTACCAGTAGAGACACTAAATGAGCTGCACTTAGAGTATCGGTACTCCGTTCCCTGACGTTGTTGTGGCTCGTATGCAGAGCAGACGCAACTGCCAATCAACATGATTCAAAAGTGCGACTTCCTCAGCATTAGATTCGGTGTTAGGTAGGTCATGTAATATTGCTTTGCTCTGTTGCAAACTGTTTAAACACTTAGTGGAGGGCGCAAAAGCGTTTCCTGCGATCTCAGATAAAGCTTCAGATAACCAGCAAAAATGATTTTAAGACACAATGTGCCAAGTGTCGTTACTCTGAAGCATAGCTTATTTAGTGGCACTAGCTACCAGCATCCTCGTTTTTTCATGCATAATAACTATTGGAGCACTTCTCATCTTCTCTTAATGAACAGGATGTACTATTTGTTTTTGCTTCATTTCACCTTTGTTAACCAAGTTTTAAAAGCTACTTACTTTTTTGTAGTCCAACCTCTAGGGCTGGACCACTTTATTTGTGAATTCCAGCCAAGTTACATGCATCTTAATCACCCTTCTTGTGCGTCGGCTTTTTGCGAGCACTTCGGAAATGATAATGGCCTTTCATTTCTTCTGGTTTTACCCGGACAGGATGCATTTTGTCTTGGAGATCTTTATTAATAATAATAAAAAAAAGGTAGCTGACGTAGGCTAGACATTTCAGGCTTGAAGTGGGAGTGAAACTCGTGGGTGGGGCCATGAGGCTTAGCTCTCCGCCCATCGTTGCCCGTGGCCTCAGCGGGCATCTATGTGGAGAATACTGGACTACACTACTGCCGGCCCGCGCTCTGTGCATTTTTATACGACATCAATAAAGGTACATACGGCAAAAGTGCATTTACTTTGCCTCGTTTTAACTGACGTCCTGGTGTTTTTATTTTTTATTACTTACATTCATTGCGAAAAAATTTTATTCTCTTCCTTTTTCATACGCGTCTCGACCAAGGCTTGACCTGTTCAGGGCCGAAGGAAGAAGAAAATAAATTGAAAACCTTGTTTATTATTTAATTGTAACATGTTACTACACTCTCTTACAACTTTGTTTGCTAACGTCTGGCAATATTTGTTGGTATATTTAGATGTACATATATCAATTCTTATTCCAGGTTTGGCCAGTTGTATGACTTTTAGGCACAAACTGTAGCAATGAAGCTTTGCTCTCTCTTCAGGGTAAAGAGCCCGTCTATCGCTTGAGAAGCACAATGCTGTGCATCAAGCATTCGTGAGGCACAATATGGCACTCCCATTCAGTGCCTCAGTTGAAAGGGCGTGTCAATATCCTCACAAAGAAACAAGGCAAGATGTCCGACAAGACTTTTGAGAGCCAGCAGTTGCTCAGAATACTCAAGGAGTGGTGGCAACAATAAACATTTACATAACCCTCTTCTCTTTGTTTCTTACTTGAGGACAGTAATGGTGAAAGTAACGTCACGAAAGTGAAGGATTATTTTTTGGTGTAACATTCTTACTTTTATTGAAGGGTATTTGTAATTAATTACAGTTTAGTCTTGTGTGATTGTAAATGTAATTACTTTATTCCTTACCTAGACTGACTTTGAAGAGGGTCCATTGAATCCTTCCTGGTTTTGATGAACCGTCGTTGGTACTGGTTCTACCGTAAATACCGTAAGGGCGCCCTCCCCCGTGAGATCGGCCATCCTGTTTTTTTGGCTAAATATTTAAAACATAAAAATTCTTAAATATCGCCCACCTTCTATTCCCGTCGGACGTCACGCGATATCCAATGAAAATCGCATCAACTGTGCAATCTGCGGTACCGGTACGTCTGACGAGGGATTTTCTGGCGAGTTCACGCTTTTTCGTCCGTGATCTGCGCATGCGACATTGGTTCATGTTACGTGCAAGTTGATCCTGCGTGTTTATTGCATCGTGAAATGCGAGTTTGCTGCGTCCTCAATCTGCGGTATTCCTTCCCGTGGCGTGCGCATTCGTAGTGGGTTCCCGCGTTTTTTGTTCACGATCT